TACATATACATACACACATGCGTACATACATACATACACACACACACGCCTTTCCACGTACGAATGAACACACAAGGAAAGAGCGTGTATTTGTTCAACACTGGTAATTGCCCAACAAGCAAGTAGATATGAATAATTCACATAGGTACACACGCACACAAAATATACATACATACATACACACACACACCATGTACATATATACGCAGATACGCACATACATACATACATACATACAGCCATAACATGCATACATACATACATACATGCATACATACATGCATACATACATACATACATATACATTCATAGATAGATACATACAGACATACGTACATACGTACGCACGTGCATACATACGTACGTTCGTGCATACATACGTACGTACATACATACATACATACATACATACATACATACATCATACATACATACACTTACATACACCGACATACACCTGTACACATACATACGCGCAGGCATACATATGTGCATACATACGTACGCAAGTACGTGAGTACGTGCGTACATACGTACACATTCACACAAGCATGCATGCGTACATACGTCCATGCACACATTGTTGCGAGCACAGCGAAGAGCATGCATGTATATGCATGCGTTAAACACCTACACTCGTGCGTACCTACATATACCTGCATACATGCAAGCCGACAAACCTCCATGCTCTAGATTCGCACTACAGTCTATTTCATTGCATAGCATGGTACTGCATGTACTAGGGTATGGCAAGAGGTCGTGTGCATTTGTTTCACGGGTTTCGAGCTTTGGCGGTTTAGAGGGCGGGCATGGTAAGGATAATTCCTCGGTTTTGCACACTAGCATCACCTTCGGCACTTCAGCTATGTGGATTTATTCTGTTGCTGCCTCGACCCTAAAGAAAATTGGACCCCAAGTAAAGCATCTTAAACCCTACACCTTCAGGCCGAAACTTGAACCCCACTCGGCACACTTCATCAAGGTCTTCAGTCCCGAGCCCGAGAAGCCAGAAGCCTAATCCGTAGAAGCTAATATCCTAAATCCGAAACGCTACCTGACGGTGAATATCATAACCACGCAATGGTAAGGATAATCGTAAGAAGACAGAGGATACAGGAAGAAGACCACAAGAAGAAGCGACATCGCAAGACAGAGAAGAGGCTGAAGCACGCGAGCAAAAAGTTGCAGAGAGTCTTGGGTTTAGGGTTTAGGGTTTAGGGCGAGGTACTACTACGAGTGTGACCCCAGCGCCCGTGTCCCGCGGCCACTCAACGCCAGCAGGCCGACGTGCGGCTCGGTTCGCTACGAGTCTTTAGAGTTTTATAGGGGTTCTTAATAAAGGTTCGCTATTTTGGGTTCTATAGTTGGTTCTGTACGGATTTAGAATTAAGGAATTAAGGATTCTATATGTATTATAAATATGGGCCAACGTTTATCAGGTCTGGGGGTGGCTGCTTCATACTCCCCCTTTTTGTTGATTGCGGCTCAACCTAGACCCCTCCCAACTACGCTCTATGGTACCCTAAATGCCCACGGCTCTATTCGAGGGCCCTTGGGAGGGGTTCTGGAGTAGGAGCACTTAGTTTGCTTTTGTTCGCTTCGGCTGGAAGTGTGCAGAAGGGTCCAGTTATGCAGCACTGGTTCACATAAATCAGTGCTCTAAACGTCTAGCCTTGACCCTAAATCAGACACAACTCAGCATAAACCAGAATTATATTCTTGAAGTCCTAACCCTAAACCCTAAACCCTAAACCCTAAACCATAAACCCAAAGCCTAGCAGGGATGCTCAGCTTGGGAGACTCTGGGGCATGGGAGGAGTGTGGAGCCACACCAAGACCCCAATTTCCGAAACCCCCAAACCACTAAACGCTGAAACCTAAATTCCAAACGTCCCTAGACCGGAAACCCTAGGGTTTAGGGGCTTGGGGTTTAGGGTTTAGGGGTTAAGGCGGCTAAGGGTTTTAGGGGATCCTAAAACCCAAAACTTCCACAAGAGCGCTGAGGTTGCGAGACCTGCACTTCCGCCTTCTGCTCCCCGTACAGTGGTGGCTGCTACAACACCAAGGATACTAGATCGCCCAATACCCTTTTTTGCTGCAGAGTTCTATAAGCGTGCTACGGATCATCAGAGTTGTATCCTTGAGCAATTTCTAGGGTGGACTCTCCTTTTCTAAGCCGTAAGATTAGGATAATAAGAACCCTCATTGACACACGGATACTGGAGAAACAAGGACAAGTACTACTATGCGGAGTGTCAGCAAAGTGCCTGGGCTGCACGAGGATTGTGAGCTCTAAGCCGGTAAGTTTTGTTCAAACTTTACCTAAACCGAAAACCTGAAACCTTTTACCCCTTCAGAGAGGACCGTGGAATGTGGTCGCACATAAATGCGGATGTAAATCCTAACAGTCCAAACTGAAGTCCCCGGAATTGCCTGGGCAGTCGACCTACCGAGGGTTTGTGCCATTTCAGACCTTTGCCTCCCCTTTCGTGTCAGAAGTGTAAGACAGCAAGCAGACAGGTGATCCAGCATAATCTGCTCTTCTGTACGATCGCAATAGGAACCAAACACATAAATCACAGGGATAGCTCTCATCACTCAAGATACGTGCCCCAGCAATCGGCCCTTCTTTCATACATAGACTTGCGCTTTGCCCAGGTGGCTGCAGCCAAGCCTCCGGGTTCCAGTGTCAAGGTTTCGACGGGTGCAGCAGTGCCTCTAGACAAGTTAGAGAAACTGCTGCTACCTCCGCCGAAGCCTGCGCCAGTTTGTGCAAAGAGGCCTCCGGCTGTACCACGTTTCTCTTTGGCCGCCGTCATGGAGGTTGCTTCAACTTCCTGGGTGCATGCCACCTTTATGTCACCTGCTTCCCGGAGCATAATCCCTGCTGGGAGCGGTATCTCCTGCGGCAGTAAGGTCACGGGAGTATTGCCTAGTTGCACAGAAGCAAGTGACCTGTAAAGAGTCACGGCATGTTCCATGCCTGACTTCACTTGCAATTTTGTTTTGGCAGTTTTGACTGCTCTAGAGGGAAACGATCTGACTGTTCAATGTCTGCCAACGCAACAAGAACCTCGGTCTGTCGAGGTTTCGGATCTAGGGTGTAGGGTTTAGGGCAAGTGTAGGAATACTTTTACTACTGCCTTGCTGCTGTACTACTACTGCTATTACTACTACTGCTGCTGCTGCTGCTACTACTACTTCTTCTACTACTACTACTACTGCTGCTCCTGCTGCTGCTCCTGCTCCTGTTCCTGCTCCTGCTAGTGCTCCCTCTCCTGCTGCTGCTCCTGCTACTGTTACTGCTCCTGCTGCTGCTCCTGCTACTGCTCCTGCTCTGCTACTGCTCCTGCTTCTGCTGCTGCTCCTGCTTCTGCTGCTGCTCCTGCTCCTGCTACTGCTGCTGCCCCTGCTTGCTGCTCCTGCTCCTGCTCCTGCTCCTGCTACTGCTACTGCTACTGCTAGCGCAAGCCGGTGCTGGACCTTACGATTCGACGACAGTCCTCCTGGCGCCAAGACTGTAAACACTCCTACAAGCGGAAGCCCTCGATAACCCAAATGACCCAAATCCCCGAAGCCATAAAACCCTGGACCCGAAATGAGCTAGACATGTGACGGCTCATGACAGGAGAGCCTTGCCAGCATGGCGCGTGAGCGCGACTCTCTCTATGTCACTCTGATGCAGTCAGCTCTGCCTTTCCGGATTCGAGATGTTCGAAAACCCCATAAACCCTAAACCCTAACTTTGAAATCTAGGCTTTCTTCTCATGGGTTCAGCGGAGATGATATCGGTTGGTCAAGAGTTTATGCGGCATGCATGGTACATGAAGCAGTCGTGGCGCGGCTTCAACTCTGAACGCGAAGAAGCTGTAAAGGGTGCAGGGTGAGCTGCCAGAATCCTAACGCCTAAACCCTAAATCCTAAAGCCTCAACCTTAAATATCCTAAACCCTAAACAACCAGCGCCAAAATCCCTGAGTCTGGAAAGCCCGACAAACCCCTTACCTGCAAAGATTCCCATCCATCATAGATACGATAGGGGCCTTAATAATTACCTATATTATTTTGGGGGTTCCTTATTATTTGTAATTATGGTTCCTTATTATTTGTAATTATACTATAAAGGGCCCCCCAAAACCCTCTTCTAATTATTAAGGCCCCTACATTACATCCATGCCGATGTTTTCAGCTCCACCTGCAGTCTTTCCGGAAGAGCTGCGGCTTTGAAGCTCTATGTTCGAACCCTGGGTTCTCACTGGTCTTCGAAGCTAAGGGCATAGGGTGAGCACCTTGATTCCCTGAGCCAGAATGCCCTGCGAGCCCTAACACCTACTTAAAGGATCATGGGACTTAGCAAGCAGGGTTATAATTTTAAAAGGCAACTATATTTATAGCTACTTATACACCCAATTAAGGGACTTATAACCTTACTTACTAAGTCCCATGATCCTCCAAGTATGAACCTGTTGAGACTCAAGGAAGCTTAGAGGGTGCAGAGCCTACCAGGGAAGCCCCCAAGTACCCTCCACTATACCCCCCAAATACCCCAGCACCAAGGACCAGAAGGGCACCCCTTTTTCTGGGAAGACCCCCAATATGAAGGACCATAAGGGCTCAATTATGGGCCCCCTTTTTTGGGAAGACACCCACTATGAAGGACCATATGGGGCTCTTCTAAGGGCCCTTTTTTGGGGGAGATGCTGGTAAAAGGTCTATGGCCCGATGAATCCGAAGCCTTCCAAGCATCTCAGACTCGAAGGAGCCTTTGGAAGCTTGTGTGTGGTAAGGACCGTAGGGCTTTGGGTGTAGGGCTTAGGGTTTAGGGCTTAGGGTTTAGGGCTTAGGGCTTAGGGTTTAGGGCTGAGGGCTCAGGGTTTAGGGTT